GTTGTCAAGTCACGATCGCCACGACCCGATGAGACCGCGCCGCCTTAGCTGGGAAGCACAAAGCCCTATCGGCAGACACGTGGCTCATCTCCCGTCAGATCTGGGCCCGCCTCAAAAAGGAAGGGTTTCGCCTGCAAATACCTGGCATAACCCCGCGAGTTGCACGGAACTTGGCTCCCAAAAGACTAATTTCGCCTGGACGATTCACTCGCCACTAAAGGTAAGATTACAAACGAAGCCAATAGAATAACCTCGCTTAAACGGTTAAAACCCACGCCTCAGACGGCTAAGGGTTAGAGCAGAAATCTTAGCATTAAGCCTAAGAGAAACTGTTCAACAACTCATCATACTGAGGGGAATAGTATGGCTAGCCCGATTCAAACGGTGATCGGTAAAGGCACATCAAACCCGTTGATAGCTGAGGATTTGCTAAAAATCCTAAAAGAAACCCAAAGGCACTTGCTCCGCCGAAGTTTTCTTCATTCAAAGTATTCCAGACCCCACGCAAGCCAGTTTCTTCATTCAAAGTATTCCAGACCACACGCGAGCCGGTTTAGGTCTGAAAACTTTGAAGGGGGTCTTGTAGGCGGTAAAAAATACCTCTATAGGCTTACAGGAAATTCGCCTACGAGAAGAGCTCGCACGCTCAGTTCTCTGGCACGGGCCTAAGTCGCGTAGACGTTGATAGAGGGCAAGGATTCAATGGAAGTGGATGACGACGCCTTTATTCTTAGCCCGCGCGATGTTACATTGATTGAAGGCATGCGTAAAACCCCTTCCATCAAAAGAACAGTTCTCTCTAGATCTCGGCATGCTGGGCCATCAATGTGGTCTCCTTTTGTTCCACTTGTTAGTAGAAAAGGACGACCAAATTATCCGGGAAGGAAGGAAGTAATGGATGAGGAGAGAGAACTACTAGATAACTTTTAGAAGGAGAATATGGCCGCGTAAGTATTTTGAATGATTTACTTATTTACTTTTCAACCTGTACTAAGTTTTTTCATTAATACATGTTATGTATTTGTTTCATATGTAGTGAGACATTAGTGTGGTCATCTAGAGATGCGTTGATGACACGTAAAGATGCATTGGAGTTACTTAAAGGAGAGGCAATTAGCTGTGACGTAAGTATCCGTTCTTTTCATGCTTCACACAAATATACATAAACACGCACACATGCACACACATATAGAGTATTTTCTGTACCAGAAATCACATAGAAGCGTATGACTGATATTTGATACAATAACACATCTTATGCCTCCACATGCTTTTGATATTTGATACAATAACACATCTTATGCATCCACAATTCAGTCATATATGCAATGGTTACTAATCTGAGGGCCGCATAACTGATAAACGATCTTCTGCTGCAAGCTGAAATTATGTAAATATTAGTGTTCACGTTAGTATATAACATGAATATTTACAAATTTATTATCTACATTTCAGGTTATAGCCTCCTATGTTGTCTTGTTAAATAGGTTAATGGAGACGCGTGCAAACTATGCGAAAGACATACACATATGTAGTCCATGGGTAACCGTAAGTAGAAATCCAATCCGAGATTATAAGTAATATTCATAAGCTATATTAAATACTTACTCTTAACTTTCTTTATTTTTTTAGAGATGCATCAATGAAAATAATCCGTCAAGTGTGGATCGAATGTTTAAGCCAATAACGACAACTCGATTCCAAGAACTTGATAAGATTATTTTCCCACTCCTAACTTCATTTCATTGGCATATGTTGGTGTTCTTTGTAAAGGAGAAGAGATTTTATCATTATTCTTCCCTCCGTGGTTATATGTCCGATGCTAATGAGTTTAGGGTGAAGCTTATTTCTACCATTCCCGATGCTTGGAACTTAGACATTACTTCGATTCAGGAGGTAGAAAGTGTTGATGTACCTCAACAACGGGGGTTAGTGTATTCGACTTATTCATATGTTCTTTTTTCGTTTGTGCTAACACTCACATAGAGACTACATATTGCGGGCCAAGAGTGTTATATTGATATTGCAAACTTTTGAACTTGCAGAAGCTTGGATTGCGGGGTGTTCTTGATGGCGTACATGTTTAGCCTCATATCCGGTCAACCAATTGCAATTGACCAAAAGGATTGTGCAAGACATAGAGCTCGTATTGTTGCTCTATTTCTATTTGAAGGTATATTTTCTATACGTGTAATGTTCATTGAAACGCTTATATCGAAATCTATTGTTCTTTTGATCCGCTTATATTTTGCTTTCAGGAAATCAACCAACATGATCCTCAAGACCAATTCCCCGGTTGCTACATGCCAATTGTGATATCCAATATTTTTTGTGTACAAATATATTTTGGGAATTGATTTGTAAAGTATTTGTATATATATATATATATATGCCAATGATGCAATCTTGTATATATTCCCCGGTTGTATACAGTTTTTTTGAAAATGCAAGTTTGGAAATGCAATCTTGTATATATAGCTTGTTTGGAAATGCAATCTTGTATATAGTTTGTCAATCTCCTTGATACGCAATGTTGTATATAGTTTGTCCGGATATGCATGCAACGTTTGTCAATCTCTTAAAAACTTTGTAAACTTGAATAGTCAATTCAAAATCATTGGCCAGAATGTTTTATGCACTGGGTTATTTATGACATCCCAAAATATCAGCAAGAACCCAAGTAAAAAGACCAACAAATGGGTCGACTCATAAAATTCACGAGTCGACTCATAAACCATGGGTCGACTCATAATATCATGGGTCGACTCAGCAGAAACAAAACACATATTCCAGCACACTTTGTGAGTCGACTTATGACAGTTATGAGTCGACTCAACCTGATGGGTCGACTCATGACTGTCATGAGTCGACTCAGCAGAAACAAAAAAGGAAGGAAGTAATGGATGAGGAGAGAGAACTACTAGATAACTTTTGGAAGGAGAATATGGCCGCGTAAGTATTTTGAATGATTTACTTATTTACTTTTCAACCTGTACTAAGTTTTTTCATTAATACATGTTATGTATTTGTTTCATATGTAGTGAGACATTAGTGTGGTCATCTAGAGATGCGTTGATGACACGTAAAGATGCATTGGAGTTACTTAAAGGAGAGGCAATTAGCTGTGACGTAAGTATCCGTTCTTTTCATGCTTCACACAAATATACATAAACACGCACACATGCACACACATATAGAGTATTTTCTGTACCAGAAATCACATAGAAGCGTATGACTGATATTTGATACAATAACACATCTTATGCCTCCACAATTCAGTCATATATGCAATGGTTACTAATCTGAGGGCCGCATAACTGATAAACGATCTTCTGCTGCAAGCTGAAATTATGTAAATATTAGTGTTCACGTTAGTATATAACATGAATATTTACAAATTTATTATCTACATTTCAGGTTATAGCCTCCTATGTTGTCTTGTTAAATAGGTTAATGGAGACGCGTGCAAACTATGCGAAAGACATACACATATGTAGTCCATGGGTAACCGTAAGTAGAAATCCAATCCGAGATTATAAGTAATATTCATAAGCTATATTAAATACTTACTCTTAACTTTCTTTATTTTTTTAGAGATGCATCAATGAAAATAATCCGTCAAGTGTGGATCGAATGTTTAAGCCAATAACGACAACTCGATTCCAAGAACTTGATAAGATTATTTTCCCACTCCTAACTTCATTTCATTGGCATATGTTGGTGTTCTTTGTAAAGGAGAAGAGATTTTATCATTATTCTTCCCTCCGTGGTTATATGTCCGATGCTAATGAGTTTAGGGTGAAGCTTATTTCTACCATTCCCGATGCTTGGAACTTAGACATTACTTCGATTCAGGAGGTAGAAAGTGTTGATGTACCTCAACAACGGGGGTTAGTGTATTCGACTTATTCATATGTTCTTTTTTCGTTTGTTTGTGCTAACACTCACATAGAGACTACATATTGCGGGCCAAGAGTGTTATATTGATATTGCAAACTTTTGAACTTGCAGAAGCTTGGATTGCGGGGTGTTCTTGATGGCGTACATGTTTAGCCTCATATCCGGTCAACCAATTGCAATTGACCAAAAGGATTGTGCAAGACATAGAGCTCGTATTGTTGCTCTATTTCTATTTGAAGGTATATTTTCTATAAGTGTAATGTTCATTGAAACGCTTATATCGAAATCTATTGTTCTTTTGATCCGCTTATATTTTGCTTTCAGGAAATCAACCAACATGATCCTCAAGACCAATTCCCCGGTTGCTACATGCCAATTGTGATATCCAATATTTTTTGTGTACAAATATATTTTGGAAATTGATTTGTAAAGTATTTGTATATATATATATGCCAATGATGCATTGGAGTTACATATTGCTCTTGATGGAAGTATTTGTAAAGTATTTGTAAATGCAAAGTTGGAAATGCAAAGTTATATGTTCTGGAATTGCAAAGTGCTGGAAATGCAAAGTTGTATGTCCCTGATTTTTTGGATAGAAATGCATTCTTCTGTGGCAAAATTCTGGATATGCAATGTTGTATATAGTTTGTTTGGAAATGCAAGTTTGGAAATGCAATCTTGTATATATAGCTTGTTTGGAAATGCAATCTTGTATATAGTTTGTCAATCTCCTTGATACGCAATGTTGTATATAGTTTGTCCGGATATGCATGCAACGTTTGTCAATCTCTTAAAAACTTTGTAAACTTGAATAGTCAATTCAAAATCACTGGCCAGAATGTTTTATGCACTGGGTTATTTATGACATCCCAAAATATCAGCAACAACCCAAGTCTGAAGACCAACAAATGGGTCGACTCATTAAATTAAGCTAGTCGACTCATAACACAATGGGTCGACTCATAATATCATGGGTCGACTCAGCAGAAACAAAACTCATATTCCATCACACTTTGTGAGTCGACTTATGACAGTTATGAGTCGACTCAACCTGTTGGGTCGACTCATGACTGCCATGAGTCGACTCAGCAGAAACAAAACACATATTCCAGCACACTTTGTGAGTCGACTTATGATAGTCATGAGTCGACTCAACCTGATGGGTCGACTCATGACTGTCATGAGTCGACTCAGCAGAAACAAAATGTAAACTACGCATCAATTTGTGAGTTGACTCAATACTGATCACGAGTCGACTCTTGTACACAGTTTTCATCTAAGAACCTGTTAAAAAAAATAATTCTCTAAAAAGGTGAAAACATGATAGAGCATATGATCATCATATAAGATATAGGCTCACCATCAAATGTGAAAACACATAAATTCAACAGAGCCAGACTTACTAGTCTATTACATACCAAGTTCAACACATGTTTTCAAACCATGTCCAACATGAAGCAAAACAAGTGCAAGTTAGAATATTACATGCCAAAATAAAAGTTTGCCAACTTATCATAAACCAAAATATCATTTTGTTCAACAGGAATTCAAGAAGAGCTTCAAGCGTTTGACGATCCTGGACCCGAGGAAGGATGGGGTTGCAAAAGGTTTATAACCTCATCAAATCTCGTGTGAATGGAGGCCCTCCTGAAACAGAACAGTTCGTTACGGTAAGGACCCACCAACTCCTAGTGCCGATCTATGATGAAGAGGACGAAGAAGAAGAGATTAAGGAAACACACTCAACCCAAATTGAGTTTGAACCCCGAGATTGGCGTTTCCCCATCATCGATTACGTCTTGCATGGAATCCTACCAGAGGATATGAAGGAAAGAGAGTCAATCCGACGAAGGGCACCAAGATTCTACTATAATACGGAGAATCGAACGCTATACCGCAGGGGGTACGATGGATTGCTGGCACGCTGCTTATCGACTAAAGAAGCTGATGAAGTCCTTAGAGAAGCACATGAAGGAGAGTGTGGTGCACACCAACCCGGTCCCAAACTTTATGATCGCATCAGAAGAATGGGATATTTTTGGCCTTCCATGATGAGTGATGTAATCGCGTATGCCCGAAAGTGTGATGCATGTCAAATACATGCGAATTATATGCACCAACCTCTGGAGCAATTGCCATTAAGCTGGCAGGAATTTTCATCCGATGAAGAGCAGTAACATCAAAGAGAGGTCGGATTTGAATAGGTGTCTCATCGTCAAGATCAACATTGAAGTGTTTAAAGATTTTGGTAAGGAGACCGCCAAAAGGAATGAAAGTGGATGGACCAGAAGCAATGATATCGAATATAACATTTCCCCATTTAACATCAACATTACCCAGAATGGCATAGATTGCCCTAGTGAGATCTTGGGAATAGTGGCTATACCCCCCAGATTTTGGAATCAAGTTATAGGAAATGATACGTCCAACAATGGTAGCCAAATCAGATACATTTTTTGCATGTAATGGGAGGCTTTCGCCAGGAAGAGTCATAAGGGTTTCGACACTGGGATTATCATATGAAACATCATCAAGAAAGGTGTCGCCACGAGGAATGCCAATGATTTCAGCTAGACGGTTAGCTGTGAAACGAATATGGCGATGTTTGACACAAGAATTAATAAAATGTGGTCTATTCTCAGGACAAAATGTCACAAGATTTGCGTAAAATATACGCACAAGTGGGGGATAAAGTTCCTCGGAGTGCTTACTTGAGAGTAGATCGGTGAGTTTAGCAGCTAACTACAGGTCCTTTACGCCGACTGAAGGCTGGATCAATCACATCCAAAGTATTCCAGCCTCTTCTATAAAAGAAACGAGTCTGGAACGCTTTGGAGGGGGTATCTGTAGGCATCGAAAATTGCCTATGGGTCTCCACGAACAGCTCAGTGTTAAAGAACGACAATGAACATCACTATCTGGTTCACAGGAGTTCGACTGATGTCGGTGAACGCTTGAAGTGAACCGACGAACTACGTGAGCTGATAGGATTTCGGAATAACGAAGACACAGGCTAATCGAGAACCCCGCGATGTTTACAAAAGGAACAACACCCTTCGTGTCTCGTTCATTCTATAGATAATCTAACCATTGGAACTGATAGAACTCTTCGTCAGACTTTCAACGCATTTGAAATCACTCAAATCCGAGTTCAAACAAAGAAGTTACAGCGAAAACAGTCAAACGGGCATTGAAAACGTCTCAAAGCTGAACTGAGGCATCTACGGTGTCTCGGCCAAGTCAAGACACCCCAAGGGTGTCTCGGCCAAGCCAAGACACCCCTAGGGTGTCTCAGCGCGAATTTGGGCCCTTTAAGTGGTTTTAACCACTCCGCAACCCCTCATGCCTATAAATACAAGCCTTAGGCCTCTTTTTTTCAGATCTGGAATTCTCGTGCCTCGGCGAAGCCCTGCCGGATTGAAGACTTAAAGTGCACAGATTTCAAGAGAGGAGGAGGAGAGATCGGATCTAGTTCTTCAACGCAAGAGAGTTCTTCGTCAGATGTACATCACCCGTACTCGATCCTTAGTATTATCCCGTTGTGGTAATACTAAGAAGAGCAAATATCTCGCTTTTATCGAGATAGGCGCTACAGTTTTCTCGATCCCTTCGCGGATAGACGAAACTCTGCCCAATTTTTTTAGCAATCAGATCTGATCGACGGTGGTCCACGGATAAACCCCCGGCACAGGCAAAGACACCCACGCAAGCTTTTCGATAAACGAAAATCCGCCTTTGTTCCTTTTTCCACCAAACCTATAAAAGTTAGGGTCGAAATTGGACTTTCCCCTCAATAAATGAGGGATTCATTTGATTCAAATGACCAATCCTATAAAAGTTAGGGTCGTTTGAACTTTTTCGATTCTCGGAGTGGAGATCCCACTCTTAGTTTTATCTTTTCGGATTCTGAGGGTTCCCACGTAAGCAGAAGACCGATAAACGATCTCTGCGTTTGTTTGATAAAGTTATAAACTTTTTTTTTATTTTCATTGTGTAAGGAGATCTTATAAAAAGATCGACTTTTTATTTCATTCGAGTTTATTGTAACGACTAAAGTTGTAATAGATTCGATAACAATAGAAATAGCAACTTTCTCCGTAAACAAACTGGCGACCACAGTGGGAGCCAACGGCCTCGCTGCCGAGGCCGTCGTGACGCAACCGGCCTTCCGTTTCCCAATCTGTCTTTATTCTGATAAAGGACACAATTTTCAATTTCCAATCCGGGCACTTTGTGCAAGGGGAATTTTATCTCAACTCCTAAATAGAGATAAGTCTATGCCTAATACGCGTCGCCGGTTTAGTCTTTCACCGATTGAAAAAGACACCAAGGTCTAAACTTGGGGAATTTTATCCCCTTCAAGATCCGGGTGAATGAAGAGATCGAATACGAGTTCGATCAACAGAAGTTTGAAGAGTACCTCTCCTCCTCCTCCTCCAGATCCGCCTCTCCTGGCAAGCGCAGAAGTGCCTCCTCCTCCAGATCCGCCTCTCCTGGCAAGTGCAGGAGTGCCTCCTCCTCCAGAAAGATCTGCTGGTCTTCAGATCTGAAGACCCAAGAAGACGATCTCTCCGCCGTCGCTGTTGTAGTTACACTTCGCAACGATTCGCCGGCTTCCAAAGAAACCAGGTCCAACGTTCGTGACAACTCCTCGAAAGTCAAAAAGTTGCCCGTTGAATGTGCACCAGTGTTGACGAAGAGGGCTCGTCAAAGGCGCCGTCAACATCTCGCGCGGCACATCAAACCCGTTGAAGGCTGGGGGTTTGCCAAAAATCCCAAAGTCTATGTCTAACACACATTGCTGGTTTAGTCTTTCGTCGATTGAAAAAGACACCAGGGTCTAAACCTGGGGAATTTTATCCCGAAGCCTAAGAAGGGATAAGTCGTGTGTTGACGAAGAGGGCTCGTCAAAGGCGCCGTCAACATCTCGCGCGTCAATTTGCCAAGGCTTTGGAGCATGTTGACGGGATCTGCTATGATGCGGATCTAAAGCTCAGAAGGCGCAAAGTGTTCCAACAACAAGCTTTGGGAACCTCCTCCCAACCACCTACTAATGAGTGGGTTCGTGTCAAACGAAACCGTTCAACTCTTGAGGAGCGCTTCCATAAGCGCCGCGCACTGTTAGCGCCGACGAGGATTATTGTACGGAAAGCACAGGAATTGGGGAAGGAAAAGGTGGCCAAAAAACCACCAAGATCTAAGCAAGTCTGGATGCCAAAGGCCAAGTCAAAAGTATCCGAGGCTACTCTCCGGCCTTTGTCAACTCCAGATCCCACCTCCGGCGAAGCCCTATGACAGCGTGGATCTCCCCAAATCTAGAGTCCCGTTGAAGGATTGCATCGGTGCTCTACCCGAGGATCGAGGAAAAGCGCCTGTTAAGGAAAGCTTGAGTTCGTTGAAGGAGCTTCGAGCCAACATCCGGACTGGGGGTCGTACGCGACCTCCTAACAAATTGATTTC